ACTTACAAGGGAACTGTCGGAGTGTCTTCTAATAAATTTTAATAAAATTTAGTTAATAACTACGTTAAAAGTATACAAACTCTATTTTAAATTTGTAGCATTCACTAAAAGTGTTGATCAGAGTTATTAGCAATCAAACGTTGCACTAATTTATAATAGTTTAGCACAATTATGCAATTTTTTACAAGTGAAAAGGTCGCGGAGGAAGACGGTGATATTACATTTAGAATAAATTCTGGAATTTTCAAAAATGGTTGAAGAATTAATAAAATTTTGTATACTTTTAACATAATTATTAACTAAATTTTATTAAAATTTATTAGAAGACACTCCGACAGTTCCCTTGTTAGATTAATTAGACACGATTAGGTTATATAAAAAACTAATTTTAATAATTGTCTGGGATAAAACGGGACGATTTATAACCCTCTTCGCCGGTGGAACGACGGAGATTCTATCGTCTAACCCAGGTGTCGCCAAAGTGGTCTATATCGACCCCCGGGGATCGATATAACATTATTGGGGGGTCGATGAAAAGACTAAAACTTACAAATTTTGAACCGAATATTGCTAATCTTGTTAAGGATTATCGAGCTTATCCGTCTTATTGATTGTCAGTTACAAAAATTATTATTAACATATATACAGTACAATAAATGTAAAACATGTAAAATTAAAACATATATATTGAAATAGTAAGCGCTTTTTTTTTGCTTGTAACAAACTTTTTGGTGGGGGTCGATGCGAGGTTTCGAAAAGTTGTAGGGGGTCGACGATCAAAACCGTTTGGCCATCCCTGGTCTAACCGGACCGATTAAACGCATTTAACTACGTCGCGAGTAGGCGCCATCGAACTTAAGCGGGTCCGAATCCGTCGGACGAGGGACGTTTAACTCGTAAACTAATCGAGGGTGGCGAATTCACGCAATTATCGCATTCGATCCGATTTTCGATCTTATTTCCGGATCCGAATTATAATATTTTAATAAATGACGTAATTTTTCCGCCTTTTTTCTTTAAGAATTTAGCAATCGACGTTACGAAAGTGGATATTTTTATCGCGGCCGCGCCGGTGTTTTTAGCGCGACGTTCAAGTTCGACGCGATATAAAAACTCGTTTAATTAGCGCGGACGGAAGAGTAAAAAGCTAAGAAACGTAACGAAAATTCTAATTATTCCAACTGGTTATTAATTCGAGCGACGGATTAGAATTAGATCGTATTTGGCAACGGGAGGCAAAAAGAGCGGATAACCGGACAGAAATTGGGTGTAGAATATGGCGCGCGCCGCTCCCAAACCGCGGCACGAGACGTTCGCTTCGTATAAATCCGACGTAGGCAAACAAAACCCGACCGGACGAAATTGGTTGGGCCGAGAATCGGAACTATTTAAAAATTCGGATTGATTACGCCGTTTAAACAGACTTTCGTCGCAATTTCACTTATAACTTTCCAACGTTTTTCTCCGCTAACAATTTCGAAAGCGAACGCCTTAATTTTGCCAACGTAGGGCCGATATTTTAAATATTGTCGGGTAAACCGCGTTAATTTTTTAAATTTAAGTCTGTTAAAATTATTTTTATACGAATTTTCGTAAAGGCGCAAGGTAAAACAGAAGAGAGCGATAGGACCGGCGTTAACTGGGAACCCAATCTCAATCCGATGAGAAATCGAATTTTGGCAAGATTATATTTGAATTTGGTTACGGGGAGAGTTACCCACTAGAATCGTAGTCCGGGGACGATGTGGCTAATCGGAGACGGAAATTTCCAAGAACACCGAGTTTTATTTAAGAATATTAAAGAGAAAAAAGCGCCTTTACGCGTTAACCTATTTGAAAATTAGATCGCGGATAATAAAACGAATGACACAAAAATGACGGCGTTAACGAGCCGTCGCGCGTTTACGTTTCTGTTCTCGTCGTCTTTACAGCCTAATTTCCAGTTTTTAAAATATAGCCGCGAAAAATGATTAACGAATGCGGAAAATTTTGATATAAAAGATCATTTGGCTGGCTTTGAAAACATATTCGGCATTTTATAGCCCGGGGAGAGGGTAGGAAGCGATAAATAATTGCGAAATTCGTAGACCCCCTTCGGAAATAACCTCAAACTGTCGTTTTTCCTTCGGTTTTTTGTCCTTTTCAAGGTCCAAAACGATTTTAATTTTAGAATTACCGTTTATTGCAAATATCGTTTAAACTAGACGAGCCGGTTAACGACTTTTTTCCGTACGTGTTAAAAAATAATTGCTAAATTCTCCAGTCGCTTCGTAACGCGTTGCGAACGGGATACGCGATATGGGCCTAAGCGCGGTAAAGCGGCTCTTATCGGAATTTTTTTCTTAGTAATTGGTAAGAGGTCGACGAGTCTCCCACCACTCGGATTGCCAATTAAATGACGAAAAGGTACCGTACAATCGGACCCGAGACAAAGCCTACGATCGACCAAAACTAAACAATGAAATCCCTTTTAAATGCTAAACGAGTATCAAAAAATAAAGAAAACTCTCGGCAAAAACTAGTTTCACCCGACCTTATTTAAACAAACGAGAGCTACTTTACTTTCTTCTTATCGATATCAAAGAGATAAAATAGAGCGCTTCATTGTCTTCCACGCAAAAATAATCCAATCTTCGTCGGAGGAAAGAAGGAAAAGCTCGAACCCGATCCATTTTTTATTCGCCGGATATCCTCTTCTCCTCCATCTGTCTCTTAACTCCCGAAAAAAATGCACTTTCGCACGGGAAACCCGCAATTATTCGGAAAAATTCGTCGTCCGGGAACGTAAGGCGCGCGTCAAATTAATTTCCGCAGCTTTCGCCCGGTTCGTCCTTCCACGCGCGTAACAATTAAAAAATAACCCAGACGTTTCGTTAAAATCTGGCGACTTTTACCGCGCCGTCCGTCCTTTCGTCCAACGAGAAAATAACAGAAATAAAAGTACTCACCGTTAACTTTGGGAGCGAGAAGGACCAGAAGGAAAACTTGCGAAAGTTTGGCTAAAATTTTGTCCATAGTCGAGTGGCCTTTCGGGTGTATCGACGGTAATAATCATAATAAGGAGAGAAGAAACTGGCGGAGAGGCGGGCGAAAAGAAAACGTGGCGTTTTCACGCACCGCGGATCGTATTCTTCGAGTTAGGACGACAATCCCGAGCGAATTTCGAGGCAAAGGTAGGAGCGAGCGCTCTCCTTGAAATCTGGTTCGCAGATAAAAACCAACGTGCAAGGCCGTACTTACTCCCCATACAAATGAGGGTGGAGTAGAGGCTCCGTCGGCCCGACAGCCGGTCGCGTAACACTTCCCCAGTTTCGCACCATCTCGAATGGCGGAGAGAAGCTCGAGAGCTGGGAAAAGTTTACCCGACATTTTCGATTACTCCCTTTAATCGGATTAATTGCCCGATGGCTACGGGAAATATCCGTTTAAAGGGCGCGCTAATAAACCAGGTAACGGAAATTTCATTCCCCATACAAATAAATTGGGAAACATTTTTAGAGGAAGAATATTGCTTTTAATCGCGACTGGTAAAATTTCGTTTGGACGGAAGCGAAAACGAAGATAATTTCACGCTTAACGGAATAATCAGATTAAAATTTAAGAAAGCTGCTTATTATTCTTTCGGGTGAACGATTTCTACTTTCGGGAGATTCCGTCAATTTTCTTCAAGCGGGGTAAAGTACTCGACTATTAAAACTCGCAAACTTTACGGGGGGGAGAGAGAATTTGATTTAGAATTTAACAACGTTACGACCCGTCGACTCGTTGCTCTCGTAATCTTACGCGGAGTACAGAACTTTCCAACCCATCGTCGAATTCCTTCGTTCGAAAACTTAGAAATTTCAAAAAATTCTCGAATGCCGAAATGGCGGACGATTCCTTCGGTTCCGAAAAATTGAACGAAAGGAGCGGTCCGCCATTTCGGCACTTCTTCCCGAACGGAACGAAATTACTTTCGCATTCTCCGAAAATCTACGCAAATATTCGTTACTTTCTTTGCGTAACTTCTGTCTTTCCCACTATTTGGAAACGGGTAACTCGTTAATTGTTACGCCACCGACGTCTTCGACGATAATAATTAAAGGCGCGCCGAATAGTCCGCCATCGTTTTCCCGGCCCCGCGTAGGTTTAACGTCCTCGTACCCGTCGCGGCACCCGTCGAGTATAAAATTTATACCCCGCGATTTATAATGCGGCGTAATTTTTCGGACGTTTCGGCGGGTCGTTACTTAATTACGACTCTTTCCGGAGGAGACTCGGGGTCGTCCTCCCCCTCTAAGAAATACCGACTTCGATTTACGACGAGTTCCGATTATGTCATAAAACGGGAAGATCTACCGCGTGAAATGTGTAAATATCTGGTCTACAAGTAACTCGTTTGCATACGCAAGTAGGAAAAAGTCGAACAATTTCATTTTTCCGGTCGTTATAACTTATGACGGAAAAGTATCGAAATCGTGTCGAATTCGACCCTCTGGGGTTTTTTTTAAATCGCGACGTTTCGACCCCCCCGAATCCAGAAAATAGTCGAAAATTCTGTGTGTATGTGTGTGTGTGTGTGTGTGTGTGTGTGTGTGTGTAGGAAGGTCTGTTTCGTTTAATATCTCGGGATGAGGTAAAGATTAATTAAGAAACGAAATGTTGCGCGATAACTCGTATGTAAGGGACATCGATGTTATTAATGTTTGGAATGCGGAACTCGAGAGGGTCTCTACCCTCCAAACTAAGTCTTTATTTTTTGTCTTTTTATAATAATTAATAATAATATAGAAGTTAGTTTTTAATAACATCTGGTTACAGCCACGCATAACGTTAACTTTGCGCTAGTGTCATAGTGTTTTATAAATTTAAACATTTTTACTTTCTCGGCTGTTTTATATAACGATGGAAAGTATGGCGATGGGTCAAAAAATGATTTCCCAAACTTTTACATTATTGGACTCGGAAAGCCACGAAACGCCGAGAAACGAAAAAAATTCGGGGTATTTTTCTGCATTTATGTTTGTTTGTGGGACACGATTTTGTTCACCCACTTTCGAGCTTAAGCCTTTTGTCGAAAATTTCTAAAATTTTGCGGGAGGTTTGTGTATTAGGGGATCCGTGTCGTTAAATTTTGGTGGTTAAAGGTCACGGGTGGGGAGATAAAAGGGGTCGTGTCTTATCTCGAGTAGGATCAAACTTAATGTCGATTTTACTCGTTATTTATTTTATTTACTTAAAGAAAGACGACGGCCTTATACAAAGTGTTTAGCCAGTGGAAGAAGGGGAGGGAAGATGGAAGAAGGAATAGGAATAGGAAAGATTTAGGCTGTACTCGTAGGTTTAGCCAGTAGAAAAAAAAAGAAAGTTAGGAAATAGAAATGGGAAGTAGAGTGAAGGGGAGGAAGGGATGAAGGGAAAGTGATAGGAAAGTGAGGAGATAGTAGAAAGCGTGGGAAGAGGAAGTGGGATCCCCGACAATGCATACCTTTACTGGGGATTACAACAGAATGCAAGTACGGTCCATCAACTTGGTGGACGAGTGAGGATTTTTACCAGGAAGTACAGAATTGGTATGACAGAAAATTAATAATTAGGAAAAATATTACAAAATAGAGATGCCCGACAAAAGTAATTCCCTACTAGGGATTACAATAAAATATAAATACAGGGCGAAGGCACGAAAGCGTCGAATTTAGCAGATGAGAGTTAACTGTTACTGAAGCACCAATTGATGAAATAGCAGAAGTTTTTAACACATTAAAGTAACGTAGCCATGGCGCCGAGTGCATTGTCTCCATTGGGTACAGGAAGAGTGCCTAGAAATAAAGTGGATTTAATAATGTAGAAGCACCTTCTTAACGGACCAGATGGGTGTAATTAAGGAATTTCTGTAAGGTACCATAGATAGTTTTGTTTTTGATAAAGTCACTCGGTTTGCACGGCCAGTGGTAACCTTCCTTAATTACACTATCAATAAGGGCTATTCTTGGTGAGGAGAGACGAGGGAATAAGATGATGATACGTGAAGCGGATCTTCGCTTTCGCTGCTCGAACACTGGCACCAGCCATCGCCTTTATTGAGGAACCGTTTGAAATAGGCAACAAAATTCCCATGACCTGGTAGGATTTGAGTTAGCTAGAAAGAGGGATGAAGATGATTGTAGTCTCTTCTGTCAGTAGCATTTGGAATAAATTCGCGTGTGAGACGCCCGGTGGAGCTGTCATTCCACCGGGGAATGACAGCTCCACAGTTCGTGAGCGACCCAACTGGGAGGAATTCTTGTGTAACTGTCATTATTGATAGATAGGTCCGTGATAACCTTTTTGGCTAAAAAGTCTGCTTCGTCAATTCCCAGGTTGTCACTACGTCCTTCACCCAATGGAACTTGATTCTCGTGTTCGGAGGAAGCCTTCGGAGAATTCCAATGATATTGTTAATTATTGGGATGCTAGATTCTGTGATTTGATTTGATGAACAACCACCCCGCTGTCGCTAAATATATTTCCGTTTTTGTAATCTGGATCTCTATTGCTCCTTTGAACACGTATTGGAGGGCCGAAGGAAGGCGAGGGGATAGAAAGAAGAGAAAGGAAGGATCCCCAAGAGAAGCGTACGTAAAGTTACTGCTCTCTCTATGGTTAATACTGGCGCGCAGTTTTTAGGTTGCCAGGCCGCGGGTCTAAAAGAAAACCGCTCACCGATAAGTAGTGCAGCTAAATAAAGCTAGACAAGTAAAGTTTAATGCTTAAAACTAAAACAAAAGCTTCAAACTAATACCGTAATAATACCGCGAATATACCGGTAACTAACTTAAAATTAACTTAGCGAGTTTGCGCACGACGTACGTCACGTTATAATTATAAACATATGCTGTTAGATGGCGTTGCGCATCCAAGCCCGTTTTAAATTTTCTAATCTGATCCAGGGTATGCTCTTTCGTCATTGGTAGATAACAGGATTTAAACCTCGGGGTTTATTTTAAAATAATAAACACATCCAACCGTCTAGGCATAAAACAACGCCACGGCCCGTCTTCGTACGCAACATTGGATAAATTACTTCTTGTAGAAGTTTCAATCGTTATAACGACAAATCTAAATCGATCGTAATTAACAGACGACAACTAGAAGCAAGATTGCAAACACCCGTACGAAGCAAAACCATTGACGTCAATAAAGGGTCAAATACGATGGGTTCCGCAATTTTCTTACGCTCATAGTGGTACTGTACGTTACGCATAAAGTTATAACGTAACGTATGTCGCGCGCAAATTCGCTATTACTAACTTAAAACTAGTTACACTAACTTATTAGTAAACTAGAATACCGACAAGGACGATGCGAGGTCCAATTCACCCTCACTCGTTTTTGTCTTTCCTTCATCGCCATCTTCAAATACACAGTTGTAAGGATAACGTATTTTGTCAAACTCGAAATGGAAAAAAGAGAAAATACGGGAAAGCCTCGGACAAAAAGTCCAGATTCATAATACCGGAAACTTCCAGCCGAAATATATCGAATACAAAAGACAGACGAGGAAAGCACTTTACGCGATTATTAGGTAATCGGTCCGGATGTCCCGACTTTCAACAGATAAAACTGCAAGTTGCCGTGGCCCGTAAGAAGCTAAACGAGAGCAAAGTCGAGGAAAAAGCGTGGAAGAGTGGCAATAGCGTCGAACCCGGGGATAAAAGTGTAAGTCAGCCTACCCGTAGTGAGCTGACCTACACTTTTTACTCGTTATCGGCATTTACATTTTTTTTTTTTATAAAACTCGTCCCAACTCTCGGAAGTAAGTTTTTTTTCCAATTTTATAATAACTTCCGATAGGGTTACGTTCCGAAAAACGCATCTTAAGTCGAAAATAAGAATAAATAGGTCTACCGTATATTTAAAACAGACTACACGTGAGGTTATACGGTACGTATGGTAAAGGGTACAGTAAGAAAGAACGAAACGAAACAAAACAAAATCTACAGAAGCGAGCCAAATTACGCTTCCAAATATCGTAAAATCCATCAGAAAAGTAAGCAACAAAATTTTACGATAAAAACCTTAGAAAATTAAAGGAGACGGCGTAATATTATTTGCTAGACGAACGAGCTACGGCCACAGCACCACCCACCGTAGAGAGCGCAAACTGTAAGTTTTCGCGCTGGACCATCGGCCACGGTAGGAGTAAAATGTCCTAAGTCCAGGAGCGACCGCGTATAAAGTTCTTTTAAATAAAACGTGGCGCCAAACGCAGTTTTTGTTGACGTTACCGGCAATTTCAACCTAGCCACTTGTTTTAAATGGACACTGTTAAGGCAGTTGGACAAAATTACCGTTTTTATGCTTTCGTCATTCCGTAATTTAAAATTATCGGACTTCCTAACGGTCCCTTTAACCTCCCGACCGGCTTTTACGAAGGATTTGGCGGTGTTTTAGTTCCGGAAACCAGTAGAGACGACACTCGTCGAAATCTTAATAATCTCCCGTTCGCACTCGCTCGTTTCTTCGTCTTTTATGGCCATTTAAGTTTTAATTCCGAGTCGGAAAGGAATTAACGAATGACCATCCGTCGTTTGGTTGGAGATTATTCTCGGGTTTTGTCGCCGCCATAAAATTAAAATTGTTTCTTATAATTTTTGCCAGATTACGGAAGACACTTTCGTTTTGTACGGAAAATCTTTGTAAAATATTACGTTAACGCGAGCAAAAGCCACAAAAAGGTACCGGTACGTAGGGCACTCGAGGTAGAATCCCGTCAATCGAATGCCGAGCACGTTTATCGTTTAAACGTTCCCGATGCACGAAAAACTTGGTTTTAACGGACGAACGTCGTTACTACCGTTAGTTTTTCCATGAAAATGTAAGTTGGAGAAGAGGCGTTCCGGTGGCCGGAAGTACGCAGAGATGATCGAAACCCTACTAGAAGCGTTATAATACGCCGTTACATTTTAAAGTAATCGAAAACCAAATAACGTCGAATTCGAGTATTATTATTTTTAACTCCGTCTCCACCAGTTATTTAAAACCGGCAACCGGTTTGGTAACTTCCCCATCGTTACGATATTTTATTTAAAAAATAACTTTTATGTTATTGATTACGATGAATAAATAGCCTGGGACGCCGTCCGTTATCGGATTTTATGGCAAAAGCGGTCGCTAGTATAAGCACGGAAAGGCAAAACGGGTGGACGTTAACGAAGGACCCGTTATTTGGACGGGCTGCCACTTCCGGCACGGTTTTCCTCCCACTTGGCAATTTACACCAAACGATAAGAACCTATCTACCCTCCTAAATTTTTCAAATTCCTTCTTCACTTTCCACAACAATTTTTTCTTCCGGCTTTAGTTTCGTCTAAATATAATATAATAGTTTCGTAAATCGAGGATACCGACGGCGGACGACCAAAACAATAGTTTAGCGGTAAACGCCACCGCCGTAATAAACAATTTACTGTCAAACGATCTGCTGGATATTTTATACTATGTAGGGCTATAATACGGCTAATTTAATAACTACCTACGAAACAATTCGGTTAGAGGTAGGCGAATATTCACAAAAGGAAAAGCCACAGGAAGTGGCAAGAGCTGGCCGACCACTCGAATTTGGTAATTTTAAGATTTCTACGGGAAAAACTCGTTCCGAATCAAAGGGATGAGAGGGAAACGCTTGGCTGTATTGGCCAGGTACCCAAAGCCGCCGGTTACTCCTACCGTCGATTTTCGGGAGTCGTCCTTTTAATTTTCCAAAACAACTCCAACAAAGCCACCGTCGAAAACCGGAAACTCGAGGCGCGATTTGTCCCCGAGGTGGGGAAGATCTGTACGTTACACAAGTTTTCGAAAATTTCATTTATACCTTTCGTTTCGCGTAAAATTTATACGCGATGCGTATAAAGAAAGGTTTCGAATTGTACGCGCAATAGTCTCGTTTACTATTTCTGTAATATATACTGGCTTTTTCACCCAAACTAACTACTACTAATAAAAAAATCACCCGTGTCAAATTTTCGGTCATTAAATTTATTTCTGTTGTTTAATTAAAAGCTGACAAAATAGTTTTAAGTCCGACCTTCCATTCGACCGTTTACGTGCGCGGTAACGAGAAGCCGCGATTAAATTTAGTACAGATGGTCTCGCCTACCTCGGCGAAGACCGCGAAAATTTTTTTAAGTTCGAGAGCCCTTGGGGCAACGCGGCCACCCGGTGGCCCATTCGACCAACCGCTCCCCCGGGCTAGGTAAATAGGCCGGTGCGCATTTTTACCAGATTGGCTAAACGCCTGCCGTAAATCGAGGACGACATTACGCCACCGGTGGCAGATCGACGAGACTGACGGATCGTCGTTCGGGTATTATCTTCCGGAACTTACCTGAGTTTTAATTACCTAAACGGTAAATCGACGATCGATTTATTGCCGGGTCCAGACGATCTTAATCCGAACGACCGGACGAGCGTTATGAAGTCGGTCCGGATGGGAATAAAGAGTTGACAAATACGGACTTACGTAAAACGTTTTATTGTAGAGATAGACAAACTATTTATATATTCGGGAAATTCCTATTTATGTATACAGTCTCAAAAGGAGGTGGATCCTCTTCCCGCTCCTCCCCTGCCTCGCCTCCCGCTCCAGGCGCCGGAGTTGCGAGAGGAGGAGAAGCTGCTGTTGCCCCTGAGCCTGATCCTCCGACCTCGGGTGGCCCTCTGGGGAGGGGGCGACGACTGCCGCTGTTGCGATCGGGGCGCCGGAACCGAGGCCGGCACCGAGAAGGTCTGCTGCGGCGACGAGGGGCGGGGAAGGTTGCCGGGAGCCCCCTCGTCCCAAACGATGGGTTTCCTGGATTGGCCGGTCTGGTTCCTAGAGGCTGCAAAATAAAAATGGGGTCAGCGAGTCCGGGCGAACCCCCTCGGCCTATCCGAAAGGGCGCTTACCGGAGGGTTCCGCCGTCTTCTCCGTCTCGGATTCTCCCGCCGTGGGCGGATCGGCGTCGGAGCTGTCGGGTTCCACTGCCGAAGAGGCGACGGCCGTCTCCTCGCATCTGCTCTCCTCTTCAAATAGAAAAAAAATGAACTCCCACAAACCATTTGCAAAATATTTGTCAAATTACTTCCTTCCAATTCTCCAAACCGTTTCTCGCACCTGTTCTATTGTAGCGTAGCGTTGGTACCAGACTAATAATTCGATAATTTGCCAAAGCGGTTAATAATTAACGGCCCGATGAAAGTTTGTATTTCAACCACGGTCAAGGAAAAAGCGTAAACTCTCCGATAAAGCCGCGCATCGCGTCGATAATCATCATTATTTTTAAGATTCGATAAAAATGGTCACGGCCGTTAAGGCATTTATCCTACCGTAATTCCGGACGATCGGTTCCTGGCGCTTACAACTGCAGCGGTAACTCATTTGCGCGTGGCTCGGTTAAGTTTAATAAACAAAGTCTTTAAGCTAGGTTACTTCTCTTTCGTATCTCGTCGGCCACCTATAATTAGGGTTTCGAAGCAAGTTCGGCGGAATAAAATAAACACGACTTACCGGCCGTACTGACTATTTCTACGATGATGGGTCCGGAACTTTCCGCATCTTCATTTGATACGTCGGCCTCGATGATTTTCTGATCGCTTTCCGCTTCTCCGGAACTGCCCGTCACTTCCACTATCTGAATGATCGGTACGTCCGGTTCCGAAACACTTAAATGAAAAATAAACCAATTTCTTTTTTATTCTCGAAAAATAACCAATCCTGGCATCTCGTTGGTCGAGTGCATCTTCCCACTTACCCGCCGCCCTGTCCGGATCTGCCCACCTCGACGGTCTCCGACACGGTGATCGTCGGAATGTTTTGGAGGGACGTGGACGGATTGACGGAAACGGTCGACTGATCCGGGCTGACCGAATCGGGAACTTCCGTCACCGTCACTTCTTAAAAAAAACACGAAAGAAAATAATTTTAAATGTGTGTTTACAATATGCGAGCAAAGATTAAATTATAAGTTTTTCTAAAAGGTCTTTCGACAAACAACGTAAATAATTTATTATAGTAGAAGTTTGTTAATCTGGCATCCTCGGTTGTGAAATTCGATAGGTTCGTCTACCTAGCATTTGTTTTGTGTTCGATAATATACGTGACTGGTCCGTGGATAGAAAATACGTCGATGTAAGGACGACGCGCCTAAAAACGAATTTCTTGTACTGGGAAAATCTGTACCTTCGCGAGTTCTGTTTACGCGGCACAGCACTGCGGATAAAATAGATCAGGTGATGTAGAAGACGGAAGTGGAAATTGTGCGTATAATGGATATTTTACGATTGATGCAGTCTCTCTGGATCCGTGGCCGAGGAGATATGGCATTCGTATATGTAGATATAGTGGATATTCTATAATACTAGAAGTTCTCCCGTTGAGCGTGACGGAATATTTTTAATGAAAAAGTAGAAATTGAAGAATCGAGAAGAGCTTCGAGTCGAGCTCGACGTTGTCACGCTGCTTCTACAGCCCTCGACGAAGCCATTCTTAATCGATGTTGCTCGAGTCGTATACTTCACGGCCTTCGGAAGTCTCGGTCGTTCTTATTCTTTTGAATCTAGAATTTATCTGATCGATTTTACTCTTACGTTTCCACTAAGCTTTTTTCTTTTCTTGACAAAATAGCGAGTCTTTTTAATTCCGCGTTGATAATTTAGTCCAAAGATGAATTGTACGTAAGATACGTTAATTAGATGAGGGATAACACTTTATAAATAACTGGCTGGTTAGATAGTTACTTCCGATTGAATAATAGAACGTCACCTGGTCACTATGAAAAGATTTTTTAAAAATAAGAAACACGACGCGGTTATCATTTTTAAATTTTAAATTTAAAGAAGTTCTTTAAATTTAATATGTCATTTGTCAAAATATTTAAAAATGTAACTTAAGGGAAATTCCCAGGTCGAATGTCACGTGGTCACTGCAACAGTAGTGCTATCACTGATCCCAAATCGATAAAGCGTTTATTCTATAGCTATTATTTCCGTAAAATAAGTAGTCTGTACTTTCCATCAAAACATAAAACGAATACAATCAAAATTTCATCTGAATTGGACAAAATCTGCAGGAGTTATAAGGAATTCAAACACGCACAAACGATGACTTTTATATTAGTAATAGTAAAACTTCTCTTACGGGGATATGCGATTTCTGGCCACATAGGTGAGGGGTTATGAAAAACTGACATATTGAACCATACTGAATCCTGCTAAAAGTTTAATAACAGATTATAAAGTAAATAAAAAATAAATTTACATAATACTGTATCCTTTGCAATATACAGTAACTTAAACATTCCAGCAGGGTAATGTACTAACACCGAATAACAGAATATTGAAATACCGTGAATGTAAGTTGTTTGCAATAGGGTTCATTCAAGTACAGTACAGTAATGTACTAAACACAGTTGTTTAGTACCCATAAATGGAATTGATATGTTTATGAAATGGTAGTAAAGTTTACTTAAATACTGTATTTTAACAGAAAAATTAAAAAAAAGAAAAAAATTATTGAAGTATTAGAAAAGTGTCCAAGTATTGAAAAAAGTTAATAATTAAAGGGGTTTTCACATCAGGCTGGTGGATATTTTTCTTTGATGAGTGCCATGATTACACTTATATTTTTACAAAATACACTCAGATTTTGTACAAAGTCTTTATTTACACTGGACAAATTAAATTTGTTCAATAATTATTTTAGTTGAATGCTGCCTGTGGGAGGGAAATTGGCAAATTGTTCCTAAACTGTAACAACAAAGCTCAATTCCATTTAAAGTGCTTTAAATATTTGGTTTTACTATTATATGGTCAACAGAATTCTTGTAGAGCAATTCTTGCAGAACAAAAATTATTGATTTAAAAAGCTGTGGTATTAATGAACATTCACAATCATACAGTATAGTCGTGCACTGAATGTATCCTTGAGTGTTTTAAAAATAATGCATAAAATGGAATTTGCTGATATAAAATGGAATGTACAGCAATGTTTGCAATAAGTGTGGTATGGTAGATACCCGATTAATGAACTTCTACTCTATTATAACAGAAAAAGAAACTTCTAAATTTATCTTTCTCACAATAATTTGGAAAAGTATTCATAGCAGCAGTTAGAACTTAAGATCATATCAAACAATTATAGAGATAAAATTTTTTGTTTTAATTTTTATATTTGAAAAAAAAATCATTCTTTTCCAGTTAAAAAATATTCCAAATCTGAAATTGTAACAAAAACTATTCAGGTTATTAATTTTAGTCAATTTTTCCTAAAGAAATTGAATAAAAATTTTGTACTTTCATTCACATGCAAATGATTTTGCAATTGCAAGGCACTCATTGTTACACTTACTTTATTATATTCAAAGTTAAATTAAAGATAAATATTTGCAATCCACTTTGCCTTTTAAACATTCTTTTTAGTGCAATTATGTATGTTTTAATGTTAGACAATTACACAATAAGAATGAGTTTCCTCAAAATAGAATTTTCATTCATAAATTGATGAACAAACAAAGCAGAAGCAAATTTTGCAGTTTTTTTATACATTTGTTTTCTATAAATGGACCTACTGTTAAAATTGAAGTTGTTTTAGAATTAAAAATAATAAACGTTATGATATACTGAACAAAAATTAAAAACTTTTCACAATGAAAGAAAGAATGACAATTAATAAAGGCAACATAATAATTACCTGGAGGCGAAACCTGAAGGGGTGTGGTTGGAACGCTCCTTCCGCTTCCGTCGTCGAACTGAGAGAGGTCCATTCTGGTGTCGTCGACACTGAGAGCTTAAATGGAAATTAAGCGCGGGCGTGAATGATAGATAAAGTTATCGTCTAATGGCAAGAAACTTTCTACGTAAATTTTTTAACTTACAACCTTGCGTTGCCAATTGTGACAGAGCTTGCTGCGATGCGGGGATGTCGGTCGTGCTATTGAAGACAAAACGATCATGAGGCACATGGGGAGAACTATTACAAGAAATTACCAAAAACAAATTGATTATATAATAAAAATTTGCTTTTAAAGGTACAATAAAAAGGAAAAATTAAAAATTAATCAAAAAGAAAAAGATTCTGTACGTACATAAATATTACAAGCATACTCTATTATTTACTAGATAGTATAGTATGGTGATGGTAATTGCTGTAATTTCGTAGAGTTGTCATTTTTGGAAAATATTGAGGAATTTCTAAATAAAAGCTATATGGCATTGCATTTTATCAGTTATTATAAAATATCATTTAAGATTTCTGCTCCATAACTTCATCTCTTCCTTCAATTTTCTATACATTATTTTTCTTTATAGGACCAAGACAATGTAAATGAGATAACACTTTAGATATACATTTAAAAAAATCCAGACTAATTTTCAGAATATAACTATGGCCTTTTTTGTGTAAAACTTGCATAAAACATTAGCATTCTTTCAAGTAAATCCTAAAATTTTACATATATATTATGATGAGACTTAAAACCTGGAAGTCAAGAAATACAGTAAATATAAATTTTTATCAATAAATTTCCCATTTCTTTTCCTTTTGATGATAAAAAATATTGTTGGCCATCCGATCTTTTAAATGTGTATCCTTCAAAATATGTAATCTAAAGCAGATAAATTATTAAACTTGTTTTCTATCTTACACTGTAATTGATGCACTTCCTAAGCTTTAAAAGGTGTGAAATGAATGGATGGCAAAAGAAAGATGACAACAACTATTCAAACTGATCATCATTTTTAGTCTTTGAGTTTCTAAGAGAATATTGGTCCAAATATTGAAAATGGTAATGAACATAACTGATTATCTTCACATTTAACTGATAAATCTTACTCCTACAAATTAGACTAAAAACATTTATCACTACATTAACTCTTGCTGAAAAAAAATGAAGGGTTTTTTATTTACTTGTTGGTTGTATTCAATCCTAAGACTGATACATATATTACCTTGGAAATAAAGTCTATTGTAAATTTATTGTGTTCTTACTTTTCAATACTAAATTCTCTATATGTATGTGAAATTGACAAAACTTGTTTACAGAACGAGATGGTAATATATATAATTAATTTTTTCAGTAGTTATGAAGAAAGATTATATTTAAGTTCCTGCAAACAACAGATCACAACTGTCCATCCTCTACTATTCTAATAACTTTCATCTTCTAAGGTTTTCAATTCTATAGAGTTTTCACTAAATTTTCATTTGCAGTTGCATTACAATTATTGCAGTTAATCATAGTTCCATTAAACTTTTTATATATTTGTCATATATCATTTTTTTTTTTTGTTTTATTTGACTATGACAAAATACAACTAATTGAGTTCTAAAATAACTTACTATTAAATAAAGGCATCACTACTGTAAAAAAAGTCAATGTTCATGTATATATACATAAATATAGCTTTGCCACAAATACCTAGCCTACTCAGTAGAATCACACAGAAATCTTTTGTGATAGAAGAATAGTTGTATAGAAATTTAAAGAAGTTTGGGATGAAAACAAAGATGATTATTAGAAAATTTTCAAACTGGCATATATTCAAATCAGTAAAATCCAAAGTCCCATTGTATAAAAAAAAACAGCAAATAAATGTTTTAATAAAAAGACTAAAAATGAATTTAAAATATTTCACTAAGAGATTAAATGTAGAATTCATTAAACTACTAGAAATAAATTTAGCATAACATAATAAAAATAAAACAGTTTTCCTAATTTTCTAGTGAACATTGAACAATTCATCCTGCATACGGCAAAAATTATATTTTTTATGATTTTAAAAATACATAATTATTATAGTGCGCAATAGTGCTCTATGGTAGAGTTTAGCCACACATCTAATGTTAAAGTGTCAAATTTGACCATTAACATCTCAAAGACCAATGAACTGATTCAGATAACATACAAAATATTTAGTGTCTGCAACGAGATCTACATAACTCTTAAATTTTAAACAAATTCGTCAGATCATTCTAGACTTACACATTCCCAAATTTAGCACTTTTTAATTATTAACATTTCATTGGTCGATTGTCTACCATGTGACGTGATATTTTGTGATTACTTTTAATCTATTAATTAATACAAGCCTAATAATTTTAAAATAGAACCTATGCCCATTGCCCAATCCGTACCAAATTTTATATAATTATTCTCTAAGACACTAAGTTTTAATTCTATTCTATTATGAAGTAGAGATTGAAGAAGTAGAGCTTAGTAGAAACATCTAAATAAAAGAAACTTTTGAAAGTTGTGACATAAGAATACTGGAAGCAGATCTCTGACAGTAAGACTCAACATGTGAATAAAGTGCACATTACATAGACTACAACTACAGGAAGTTTTGGAGGAGGCAGACAACATAATAATAAAAATTAAGCATCTTCACAGAAAAAGGCTTTGAGTTTTACTTTGTGCCTTAAAGTTGTTGCACTATATTAATTTGGTTGGGAGTTAGAACATCTTTGAGCAGTATCAGCAAAGGAAGTTTGAAGCACAAAGTAAAGATAAAAGCTTTTTTCTGTGACAGTGCTTATTTTTCCAATTTATTATCATATTGACTGCCTCCTCCAAACTTCCTGTAGGTCTAGTCTGTGTAATGTGCACTTTATTCACATGTTGAGTCTTACTGTCAGAGATCTGCTTCCAGTATTCTTATGTCACAACTTTCAAAAGTTTCTTTTATTTAGATGTTTATGCCAAGCTTTACTTTTTCAACCTAGTTTCACCAGTTTTTTATGGGATATAATAATTGTCTGAGAGAAGCGAAGCTGAGCGACGACTAACACTTGACTTCATGCATCCCTTGTCAACATTATAACTCTAGAATGAGTTGTCTGATCTTGATGAAATATTCTAGGACGACTCATCATCTCTCAAGGATGAACTGATTAAAATTTCAACTCTCAAAAATGATCCATTTTTGTAGAACTGGAGATAGGTGTCAAAACGAAGCTCACGTTTTTCTTCAGTATTAGAGGTCAAAATGAGCTGACTAAGGCAACATCCTATGTAGCAGCATCTATTTATCGAGCTTATTTATTCAGAAATGAACTTGATCAGTTCCAAACGGCAGTAGAGCTATATCCAACAAACGAGCAAGTTAAACACAGCAACGAAGACTACTCGCAGTCAACTGGGTGCCCTGTTGCTTATATAGCATCTGAAAACACTCCAGATATTGCTCTGCCTCCATCCAAAGATGACCCAGCTCTTGGTCTCTCCAAGTATTTGAACCTCTTAGTTAATGCCAGAATCATGTTGAGAGTGAACTTATGGGTGCAAGGAGGTCTTGTCAATGGTTCACTATAAACTATAAGCTACATTATATATGCTCCTAATGCTTGCCCTCCAGCTCTTCCTCTGTTTATTTTATTGGAATTCGATAGCTATCAGGGGCCTTTCATCTATGGTAATCTGTTTCCAATAATCCCCATAACACGCTCTTCGAACGATGGCAGTACATTGCGATCTCGTAGACAGTTTCCCCTTACCTTAGCATACTCAATGACTATACATAAATCACAAGGTTTAACTCTTCCAAAAATCAAAATACATATAGGTAAAAAAGAGATAGCTATCAGTCTTACCTATGTTGCATTCAGTCGAGTGAAAAAAATATCTGACATAGTACTTTTAAATAGTTACAATACAGATTGTTATGAGTCAATCTGTAAGTCCAAGGCCCATAGTGATAGACAGAATTTCATGATATGTTGGCATAGCAATTAATTAATGGCTTATCATCACTATGACCTTATATTTGTACCTTTAAATAATACAACAAAAATCAAATATATTGTTGAGAATGAATGATTCTTTCTCTCTTTTTTCCCCTCATAATCTAGAAAATGAACATGCTGATACAGCATTACATAATTAGTCTAATGCATATCAAATACAAATGGATAACCTGTAAAAAAATGCAGGATAAGAAATTTGGCCTGCTTACAGCATCTATTTCAATCATTTGATCAAACCCAAATTATTGTATTAAAATTGCAACCAATTAAATTAGACTTCAATGGTGTTACATACAAACCATTCTTTACCTTCACTCTGTAGTGCTACAACTGCTAGATAAATAATTCCAAAATGTTAAAGAATAACTGTAAGAATAATGATTGATCATTAACACCCCACTTTAATTTTTATTATCAGAATGTAATGATTGAAAATATCTGTCACTCGCCAAATGATCTATTGTAAAATTACATTTCTTCTATTTATGAAAATGTGTTGTATATCTGAATCATTATCAAACAAATTTCTTCTGAAAAAATATTCTTTTCCTGTACAAAATTTCTCACAACTGACATATTGTAAATATTCCTCTTCAATTTTCATAACAGAAATAACATCAAATGAGGTTATGACAATTTAATATTTGATACAAAATTTTACTTAATACAATTTTATAAAAGTATATTCTGAGAAACCTTGATTTTCAATTTATAAAAATTTATATGACTGCTAATTAGATTAAATGCTTAAAAATTTTCTATTCTCTATAAAAGAACGAACATACCTCACTGCTTCAGCAAATCCATCCACTCTGTGGGGAACGAAGAGTGTCGGAGTACTGGGGACTATGCTGTCACCGCCTTCTTCGTAACCAGGTACTTGGCTCTAAAATAGTAAATATATTGTTTGATTTATACTGATCTGAATACTTTATTGAAATACTTAGTATTCACATCAAGGAGTGAGAATCTATGAAAAAGTAACAATAAAGGATGAATAACCAAAGTTTCCTATTCATAATTATGTATAAAATTAAAACCCAATATATCTTAATAACAAAACAAGATGGCCAGATTCTTATTGGGCTCTAATATTGCCAGATAAGAATCTGGCTATCTTGTCTGAATATTGAAATAAATTGGGTCTACGTTTATATGCAATGTTGAATCGGTTGCATGCTATTGAAGGCAATGATGGTGTAGGCATCCCCAGTTAGTGAAGTGCATGACTGGTATAGTTACACCATCTAAATTAATTGGTCAGAAAACAAAGATTGAACAGAGGTCTGGATAGTATAATTGGTAATGCATCTGCACTTTAAGCAGAGGATGCAGGTTCTAGTCTTCCTTCGAGATGATCTTTTCTTCTAGAATACTTTAAATTAAAATTTATTTATTTCTAAAATATTATTCAATATTGAATTTAACACAAGATGGCAGATTAACTACCCATATCTAGTCCAATTTAATTAGTACCTTAATTAATTAATTAGCAATATTAGTCTGATAAGAATCTGGCTGCATTGTTTTATTAGTTCCCTACTCAATTTTAAAATATTTAGTATAAATGTATGTTTAATAAAATGATAATATATGTTTAATATCTTTGTAAAATATTATTTAAATACAAAGAAAAGGATTAAAAACTGGCCAGATGGCCAAGGCAGTTAAGACATCAGCCTACTACTACTCTGAGAAACCTGAAATTGAATCTGGAAAAGCAATCTCAAATTTTTCATGCGCAGTCTGTCCCAAATACATTGGACCCAGTCTCCCACTACCTGGTTGTCCCCAATATGGGCCTTGCTAAATTCATAATAAGCAGAGGAAAAAAACCATCTCAATGCCCACAGGGGCAGAAAGAGTAAGACATGGAAAGAAAAAGAAATGTCATAACTTACACTGATTGTGAATGTAAGTTGATGTCTTACTAATCCTGGAAATCGTTCGGACCTCCCAGGAGGAATTCGGGGAACCAGAGAAGGCCGAGAGGGTAATGATGGAACAGCCAGAGTTTCCGTGACAATGGCAGCACAGGGCGTCACAACTGACGGAACCGGATCGTTTGAAACAAGTTGAACCGGAACACCAATGCTTGGAACTTGAGTTGTATCTTGTGCATCCATCTGGTTGTCTTCTACATCATCTACAGAATAAATAAAATAATAGTTCATATTATTTTCAAATGTAATGTTACTGAATATAGTTAAGGGATTTACATATTGCAACACAGTAAAAAAGCTGAATGAAGTTTTTGTCTTATTATAGTCAGTCATATAATTTTTAATTAATAATACAGTAATATCCTGAGTTACATAACACTCAACTTATGTAAATTTGCAGTAAAATGTAAATCTCAAAAATTGAAAAAAAATCTCAGCACATATGCAAGTGTACTGGGCACACTTTCTTGTAAACAAGATTCTTCTACAATACTCAGTGAAGGTAGAGTAGCAAAACCAAACACATCTTCATTGCTTGTTTTTTCTATATGTATTATTTCACATCATTAGTGTAGTTTGCCTCGAGTGATTTGTTTAATACATAGCCTGTTTATCACCAATACATTTATATAGCGTTCATTGTTTATATACAGTACCGTACTGTTAAAATGCAATTGAAATACAGTATTAATAATAAATACACTACAATACCTTAATACAGTAATAATAAATATAGTATTGAGCTATTAATTATGTAGTTACACTTAAGCAATTTACAAATTCAATTTATGTAAAGGTCTACAGCCGCATTACTTACATAACTCAGGGTATTACTGTAGTGAAGTTATGTCCTGAGATAACTAAGAAACATGTATGGAAAAAACATCCCACAAAGAAGCAGGAGAAAAATTGGTTTCTTTATCACAACAACATGCCAGCCCACACATTTTTAACCATGCAACACTTTCCAGTACCCAACAACATTACTTTTGTCCCTTGTCCATCTTATTTCCCAGATTAGCTCGTGCAACCTTCATATTTCCCAAATTTAAACTCAAGCCGAAAAGGAGAACATTTACAACAGTAAATGAGATCCAGAAAGAATCACAAGCAGGACTAAATTCTTAGAGTGATGAACTTCCTCAAGGCATTCGATTTGTATGAAGTGCATTGAGATAGGTGTCTACTTTGACGGTAATGGTAGACAATAGTGTATATAATGAGTAACTGTTTTGTTACAAACATACTTTGAGAAATTTTGGGTATCAATATATACAATAATTATTTTATATATTGTAAATATATAAATAATTAAAATATTTTTAACTTTTTAATAAATACTATTTTATTTTATTTATTAGCATTATAAAAAATTTAATTTTATATTACCGAGCACCACTACTTCGACTTCTTCGGCAGCTTGCTCAGACATATTATCTGTCTCAGTCTCGAACGGCCCACTAGACATTTCGTCGTCATCAGCTTGCTAATAAAAAAAATTCTTTAATTATTCAGGTACAATTAACTTAATTAATTATTGAAAATGAAAATGACTGAAAATATATGTTCTTGATTTTAAGAATGGCACGAGTTTGAAAAATGTTTTGAAAGTAACATTTTTCTATAAATAATAAAGTTTATTATGCTTTTTTTTAAGTAATAACAAATTAGAAAAATGATACAAATGTCATGAAATGCATAACATCCAACTGCTCTATTTCCACACTTGTTTGTATGAACAATTATGGAAATAGAGTGCAAAATGAATATGAACAGTTGCATCTTAATGTCATCTCAACACAGGTATTTTAACATTGAAAAGAAATTTGAATAAGACACAAGCATCCAATAAGTTAGCAAGGCTCATTTGAAACTCGTATCATTACCAATCAATATAGCCAAAATTCTTTAGTATCTATGTCATAATATGTCATTCAATCTGCATACAACAATTTGATATTGCTATTTTGGACTGCAAATAGATACCATGAATTAATTCTAAGACATAGTTCCATTTTGGATAATCAAAAATGAGTAAAAGTCATCATCTTAGAATCAAGGAAATATGGTATGTAAAATAGTAGAACTTCCAAAAAGTATCCCAAAGTTTAATTTTAACAGGCACACAATGTGACTAATCTTTAATATTCCTTTACTTTGAAACAAAGTAATAAAAATTTACATATTACATTTCTTCAAAATTTATTAGAAAGTGTAGTATTTATTAAGACTTTCTCTTTTTATTAAAATACTTTATTTAAAAGCCATTATTTCAAAAAACATGTTTTAATAAAAGCCTTGTTTAATGAAACATTGCTTTGATGAAAAAAGGAGTTTCTTTAATATATACTGAATCATCTTTAACAGAATTTTTAGGATAATAAAAAAAGCATGATTTTATATCTGTTGTACTAGATACTCCATCCCCTACTGCTTTGGCAGTCCAACCCAAATGTTCTGTGCTGCTTTACAATTGTCTCTTATCTGTTGCAATTTATAATAATTTTTTAAACAATTGCAATTGAAATGAATAATAAGAGATGGTCTGATCTTAACAACATGGCAACTAATAGTAGTATATTGTTATGTTTAAAATTATATATACTTGTATATACAAACCCATTTGTAATGCCTTATGGCACTCACAATGACCTATTGTGCTGTTTATGAAATTTTGGAGAACACTTTCGCAAAAGAGTAGGGTTTATTACCCCAAAATGGATTTTAGCTTATTGTGAATCCTGGGGCAGGCTGACATGCTGCAATGGCTCTCCCCAGAGCATTCCAGACATGCTCAATTGGGTTTAGGTCTAGAGACCTAGCTAAACATGCCATTCTGCAAATATGGGCATGCCTCTTTGAGGAAATCCATAACAAGCCAAGTTCTATTTGGTCTAGTGTTGTCGTCCACAAAAATAAACTGGGAGCAAACAGTATTCCAAAAATGTCTTGTATACAGATCAAGAATCTTCACATCTGTAGTGCTGAGTAGTCAAAGTGCTTCCCTTGAAGATGTACAAGGATGCACATTCATCCAACAAGATGACTCCCACACTAGGATAGCACCTCCTCCATAGCAGTTGTTTTCTCTGATGATGGAAGGTTGATAGTGAATCCTATGCTCTCCAGATGTTTGTGTGTCAAGAATCAGTTTACAAATTGTCTTAATTTGTTGGAGAATATAACAAGGGCCCACTGGTTTTATGTCCAGAAATCATGTTCTGGCACCAGGAAAAATGAGCTCTCCTGTGGGAAAGGACAAGAAGAGACAAACCACTAGTCATGTAGCATAATTCCTCTTCTCTGCTAGTCATATATACACAGTTTTCCTCAATACTGATGTTCTGTTGTCAGCAGCGAGCTCACAAAAGAATTGTCTGGCTGTCACTTCTCTATGGTGCCAAGTAATTAAAGCCAGTTAACAATCTTCCTGAAGGCTCACCAATCTTAGTTGTGCTTGGCCTACTCTTTTGGTGATGATTCCTGTTTCTTGAAATTATTTCTATAGCATGCACATCATTTTTTTTGGAAACCTGTAGACATCTGGCCACCTCTGCTTGGTACTCACATTCCTCAAGTCTGCTCTCCATTTCAATATATCATCTAAATGATGATGCAATGTCATTTGATCAAAACTTGATTGACTTGACCACAATTACTACTCAAATTTAGACAAATCAAACTCATAGAATCTCCCCTTTCCCTGTACTTCATAATTTGCATGTTTCCTTGATTTTCACTTCCAACTGATAGGTTAATTCAGTTCATCATGCTAAATTGTATATATGTTACCGCTAAAGCTCGAAAACTCGTTAATCTGCAGATTAACTAGCGTGATCCATTAAAGTTGCTAAAATTGTTCTATTTCTCAAATTACCTAGATAATGTGCAGATTATCTAGGTAATCTGCAAATTACCTACTAGGCACTCGGTAAAGTGAAAATAAGATCTTTGCTGAAACAACAGCAACGTTTCTGTATGCTTAAATTAACATATTGTTCTTTATTTAATTTTCGATATCTAAAGAATCAAACAATCAAACAAATCAAACAATCAAACAAGTTAATACAATCAAACAATCGACAAATTAGTTGATAGAATCAATCATCAACCAATTAAAAAACATACAAAAAATCAAACGATTTAAAATATTAATACAATTAGGGAAATTATTATATAGATAACCACCTATGGAATTTCGGGACTTTGAGTATCTATCTGAACTGAGGGGACCGAGACGACTTCAACGATACCCTACTTTTGGACCGGAGACGAAAAATAATAAAGTTATCATACTTTTTCTGGTGATCGCATGATATAATTGTGCAGTTAATGTTACCTATGGTGAGTAAAATGGCGGCTCGTCTCTGATTCCAGCAAACAGAAGAAAGCAAACAGTGGGGACGCACGTTCTGTCCTAACCTAACCTATTTTAATAAATTACCATAATTATTACCAACCAAATTATTAGAATAGGTTAGGTTAGGTTTGAACGTGCGTCCCCACTGTTTCCTTTCTTCTCTTTGCTGGAATCAGAGACGAGCTGCCATTTTACCCACCATAGGTAACATTATCCAATTGTGCAGTCTAAAGATTGGTGACACTTTGAATTTCATAGCAATTGGTTTCGGCGACAAGCACACCTATTTGTGGTACATTTATTTGTGGCAAAGATCTTATTTTCACTTTACCAAGTGCCTAGTAGGTAATGTGCGGATTATCTAGATACTCTGCACATTATCTAGGTAATTTGAGAAATGGAACAATTTTCACAACTTTAACAGATCACGCTAGTTAATCTGCAGATTAGCTAGGAATCTGCAGATTAATGAGTTTCGAGCTTTAGCGGTAACATATACAGTAGAGTCCCGCTAGTCAGAACTAATTGGAACCGAGCCCTGTCCGAATAAGCTGAATAATTGAAATAACGCAATAGCAAGCAGTAAAACATGCTTGGTTTTGTCTGGTTTAGATCCAACATTATCAATGATGTCAGTGCCCCACCCTTTATTTCATCTGACTTGAACTCAATAGAGGGCACAAACAGTTAATTACAAAACTTTTTGTTTTTGTTATCATTGTTTACCTTAAAATTATTTTAACTGTAAAAAACGTTGTTTACAATATACAGTCCAGAATTCCAATCAGTTGACTGATGCTACTGTGTGAGTCAGCATGCTTAATTGTGGATGTTGAATGTACTCTTTGCTCTACATTATTTTAGTTTAGTTTAGTCTGCTGCTACAATGGCCACAAAATGGAAACACACAACATGTACGTTGAAAGATAAGCTAAACATTTTGGAAAGGCTGGACAAAAGGTAAAAGTGCAATGAAATTGGTAGTAGAGTTTGAAGTGGACAAAGCCACAATAACTGATTGGAAAAAAACCATACAAAGATCGAGCCATTTTCTACTTCAGAAAAATCAGTTGAAAATCAACAAATAGCAAGGCCCTCAACATTTATCAAGCTTGATGAAGCCTTATTCACATAGTTCACTCAGAAAAGAGAAAGGGAAACACCCCTAAGTGAACCTCTTGTTAAAGAAAATTTCCTCTGCCAACTGAAACATGTTCAGATTAGTGGTGTTCAGACAAGTGGGACTCTACTGTATATATTATTTTTTTCAGGTAGTTGTTTTGACTTACTGTGCCAAATGTGTTTATTACCTAAATTTTGGACACCAAAGTAAAACTGTACAAATACAATGGTAAAATATTTTTAAAATACATTTTATCAGGCAATCAGCCTACAAAAATGCAGAACAAACAAGTATTTTTGGATGCTTCCTAATTTAGATCACATAGCCCATCATTTTGCATCTTTTAGATGTAACAAAATACTTGTAGTTTGTTTGGCCTTGCATTGAAGAATATTGCAATAACAATGGCTTTATGTTTTTTTAGTTTTTAAAGATCTTCCAAAATTTACTTCAAACAAATGTAAAAGACAAAAACAAATACAGATAGTGGTAATAATTCAATGGTTTCAATATTATTATTGGTAGTTTTCTAAGACAATCAGAGTTGCAGATAGTTCATTTTCAATTGCAGATATTTGTTATATATATTTATTAGATTTTTAACATATTATAGATAAAGAATAACTGATGTAAGAGAAAATGAAAATACTGTTATTTAAAATAACACAGAGCAAATTAATGAAAAAAAATTTAAATAGCTAGGTGATGCTTGAGCCTCACAATGTCTATTGAGCTAATTGCTCAATAGACATTGTGAGGTGTTGAGAGTTAAATTGATGTCTCATTTGGTCTAAAATAGTTGACATTTTTGAGATTTCAATTTTTCTGTTAATATATTTGATTTCCTCTTTCAAATGCACTACTTCATTCTTTTGTAATTTGAGTGAGATACTTATTTCTTCAAGAAATGTCTTGATTTTAAAGAAATGTATGACAAATGGAGGCATGACAAATCTTTATGGAGGAAGTGATATAAAACTTTCAAGCAGTAATGAACCGTTCTTGTTGAATTATGATTTTAGTCAGTCAGAACTTATTGTTAGATGTTAGAAGTATATTTAAGATAATGTTATGTTATAGTTATGCTATCAAACAACATTGATTTTAATTTCAAAATAATTTGAAATAAGATCAATTTATATGACATTCCTACCAGAAGGACTTAAAAAAAATTTTATTTATTTATACTTACATCAATTCTTTCTCATTGTTCTAGATTTAAAATAGAGAGCTCCATTATAAATACTTATTTTGGACGCAATACTGAGTTTCTATGAACTTTTTTAAATTTAGTATTTGGCCACTAGATACTGAGGTGTCTGAGCCATTATAGTTTTCAGCTTAGTTTTTCAGTTGGGTCAGAGCTGCTGGAATTTATTATGGGTAATTTCACTCATCTCTTACTATAAGGCATTTCACTGTAAAATTGACCAAATTCACAATGGATATAAAACAATTGCTCCCATTCTTTATCCCAGATAGCCAAGAGCTTAGGAAATTTCATGGTTCTAATTTTATATAAACACAGTATACACCAGGCTATATCTTTCTTAACTACTAAATACAATTGCATCGGAGTTCAGGCAATCGATAGTGGTCAATTTGTCAGTTTGGATGCCATGTACCCAATCCCTATCATTCTTATCATTCATAGGACCTAAGATCTTAAGTCCTATGAATGATAAGAACATTACAAAGTTGTATACAGCCTTAAAATAAAATATCTAGTTAAAATCCTCAAAGTCACTGAGCATCACCAAAATGTGCATGGTGAAACTGTTTGAGAGTTGAAAGAGCTTCCTTTGTTATTAATAATGACTAATTTAATCAATGAAGGATTGTTTAAAAAAAATATATATAATTTTCTTCATTTACAGAATATATAAAAATACTTAATTTGATAATATCTTAAGCATATTTCTGTTTAATGCATTAAACTGGTTATTAAGATCTAATATCATCTTGCAAATAATATCATAAAAACTCATTAAACTTAAAAGCTTATATGACATCAATGAACATATGAAATAAAATGAAACAGCTATCCTACTGAATTATTTAACGAACTTAACATCAAAACAGGACACTACTATAGTTTTATATTTTTAACAGATTACATGTGGTAATAAAAAGTTAAAAAGTAATTCTGTAAAGCTATGATTTGTTTTCAGGTATTCTGGATGAATGCTATAATTTTTCAATGGGAAAAAATATTCTTCTAAAAGTGCTTTTCACAATAATCAATTAAGTTCTTAGTGTAGTGTTTTGCTAGCTATTTAGTGAAAATACACTTACAGATTTAAAGACAATTTTTGTATAAGTTTGCTATTAAAATTTAGATATAGGAGCAATAAGTTTTGGTTCCATGGAGGACTTATCACACACTAATAATGATGTCAGAGTAAAACTATAAATAACTCACAGTACAGCATCAACATTACTGATGACCTCATAAACAAACTACAACAATTAAATATTCATAACAACATTAGATTTGCTTCCCAGGACATAAAAAACATGTATTCTTCAATCACACAACAATGTGTTAGAATGACTCCATTCAAATGACTGCTCAAAATAGCTAACTGAAATAATCATGTTTACCTATCTAATAACTTTTTCAAATCCAAAGGTAGTTACTATAAACAAACAGAAGAGATCCCCATGGATAGCTGTATAGAGCCAAAGCTAGTCAAAATCAGCACAATAAAAATAGACAAAAATATAGTGAGCAGATTTTAAACTTTTATCATTACATGGATGATTGCCTACTTGTTTATGACTACACCATAACTGAAATCAATCAGTTTCTAAAACATCAATACCTTTGACCAAAATATAAAATTTGAATTAAAACTCTAAAAATCTACTAGTTAACCTTCCTAGACATTTTAAGCACTATACTAGACAATAGAATTAAAATCAATTGATTTATAAAACAATGCAATGTTAAAGTAATAAATTACAACTCAGAGATCCCTTTATACATAAAGAAAAACACATTCAACCTCCTTATTAATAATATTAAAAATAGAACAACAGACACTACAGATCAAAATTTCGAAATAAATGATATTATCAAACTATATTTGTTAAATAATTACCCCAAATTCACCTAGGTAGGTAGGTAAATTATAAAAAAAATACATTTCAGAACACTACTTCTCCAGCAAAATCGTATAAGGTTCTGTATGTCAAACAAGTTTTTCAAAAAATTCAAAATAAATTCAAACAATTTAATATTCTTATTGTACCTGTCCATACAAACATTAGCCAAAAATGATTAATCAAAAATAATACTATTATCAACATTTTTCAATACTATTATAAGTTTTCCAGTAGTTGTAACCACAGTTAGATTAGTGAAACTAATAGAAAATTAAAAATACAATTCAAACAACACATTAATATTTTTATATCCAAATTGTAATATAAATGCAAAAAGCAAATCATCAATTTGCTATTAAAATTCATAAAATACCAAAACAACAAACAATAGGTTTTGGAAATCAGTGTAAAATTTTCATTTGGAAATTTTGGTGTTGTCTTATAAATTATGTGTAACATTTGTAATTTATTATTTTAAATTTATTCTGTTAAGTTTCATAAGCAATACTAAGCAATAAGTAACATTTTTATTGAAGTTTTATCTCAAGTTTCTTGTTAAATTTCACTGATTTTTTGAATAATTCCACATTAAAATATAGTCAGTTGATATCAATTAGACAAAAATTTAATCGAATGAATTTTTGAAAAAGTGATAAAATGTTAATGCATATGAAGACTATATATTCATATTTTTAACTTATTTTAAGTGAATTTACAAAAAAATGGAAATTTAGTTATTATGGTTATTAAAAATTTTTCTTTTTAATTTAATTTTTCCTTATTCATTTAATTATTTACTAGAAAAGTATTTCTATACAATATGAGTTTCAAATAAAATGCATACAAAAAGTGTTCTGTAATTAATGTCAAATTTACCGAATAGGTTCCTTCTTGCATTTGATGGTCATCATCATAATCATCTGTCTGTGTGCCCTCGTCACCTTCGTCATCATCCATATCTTCTCCTTCATTAAAGTCATCTCCTTCTTGCTCATCGTAACTCTCTTCCTAAAAAAGAAAAATGTTTATTAAATTCTTTATACTATTGCACATATATAAATTTTTTCAAAATAATTTGAAAAGTTTTATTTTGTTTGTTTTTTTTAACATCTATTTTATAACCAAATACTAGATAATGAAGTTCTTGGTTTGAATAATAAAGAACACTAAATATAAAAACTTAATATTTACTCTTTACTAACTGTAGTTGTTGTATAATTATTATATTTNCATCTTTTCACATAATTTAAACGAATGCCAGGTTTGCAATTTCAAATTGTTTTCTATTACGAAAATGTAATTGTGATTTTATTGGTGGCTTGAATATGGTGGTATTTAGCTGCGACAAAGACTGAACTCTTTCGGATTCGGTCATTAAATCACAAAAAAAGGTTTATTGGAATAAGTAAAGCTGTTACTTTAGTGACTTTTCTGTCAATAAATAAACTTTTAATGTCTACAATTTACTATATAATTAATATATATGTTACCGCTAAAGCTCGAAAGTCGTTAATGTGTACATTACGTAGCTAATCCGTAGATTAACTAGAGTGATCCGTTAAAGCTGCTAAAATTGTTCTATTTCTCAAATTACCTAGGTAATCTGCAAATTACCTACTAGGCACTCGGTAAAGTGAAAATAAGATCTTTGCTGAAACAACAGCAACGTTTCTGTATGCTTAAATTAACATAATGTTCTTTATTTAATTTTCGATATCTAAAGAATCAAACAATCAAACAAATCAAACAATCAAACAAGTTAATACAATCAAACAATCGACAAATTAGTTGATAGAATCAATCATCAACCAATTAAAAAACATACAAAAAATCAAACGATTTAAAATATTTAGGGGAGACCGGGGCAACTTCGGCATGCGGGACAAGTTTGCCAAGCGCTTTTTTTTAAAAACAAATTAAAAGGAGACTTTGGTTATAGGTTAGGCAGTTGAGTTTTATTAATGGCTTGTTGAGTGTAGTGTTTTTATTGTTCTCCAACAAGCGTAGTTGAATTATCAAGCAAATTTTCATTTTCGTTCAATTCCATATAATATTTTTTTTCCATTTATATTGAATTGGCAGGTTTTGTTATAATTCCATGATAACGAAAGTTACTTTTCCTGTTAGAAGGATGTAACTTCA